GGAGGGCTGGGCAGGGTGTGGATGCCAGACCTGCCCCTGCACCCCCAGACCCTGTCTCCCAACCAGCCCCATGCCTGCCCACCCTGTCCTCCCTCTCTCCAGGGCTGCCTGGCTGCTGTCTCCATGTTCACTGAAAGGAAATGTCCAAAGTTGCTGTGAGGGTTCATTCCCACTCACTTTGTCAAGTCTGTGTGCTGGCTGCTGTGTCCTCCATTTCTCTCCCATGGAAGTGGGAATGAACACACTGGTTCCCTGTGAGGATAATTACAATGGAGAGCAAACCACAGACATTTTCTATAAGGCTGCTGCAGGGAAGTGCCCTATGGTCCTCAGCCAAGGAACAGGATCAGACCTGTCACCAGTCTGTGGATATCAGCACTTCATAAACACTTCATGAACTTCATTAAATGTGGAAAGTCAATCTGCTAATCATTAATACGCACTGATCATTAATAACTCCTGATCCTCCTTTTGTCTTTGTTTATATATCCTATGATGGCATCTTTTTACCATCTGCTGCATAATTGGATTTGGGGAATTCAGTACTGCCCAAGAACAGACATTTATACGTTCTATCATCACAGGATATTGTGAAGTCAAGAGTTTTGCTGTGTAATTATGTGCATTGTGAAAAGTAATTTATTCTGTTTCATTCAGACCAGATGCCCAATTACTTCTTCTGGTGCTTCCTAGCTTCTATTGTAAGAAACAAGTAATATCAGTTTGCTGTCTATTTGCACTGCACCATCTGCAGCACAGCAGACCCCGGTCATCTTTCACAACTGATAATTTCTTTTTTACCCTTTTAGTATGGGACAACTAGACAGCATATGGTGTTTGAGATGTGGGTTTCCTGTGTGCCAATGTATTCATAGTAGTGTTACTACTCAGCCCTTTCCCAGTTCATTTACAGCACATGAAAGCCTGATGAAGGTGAAAAGCCAAGTGATCTGACAGGTCTATCAACAGCAAAAGCACTCAGCAGTGTCATGGTCAGTGAGCACACAACTGATTAAAGTCGATGAGCAGCTCTATTAAAGCCCACCCCTAGGAAAGAGTTTATTTGTTATTGCTCAGATAAAAGCACAAAGCGCTGAACGTGAGGCACTTAGCCCTCTTCATCAAGAGAATGGAGGACTGGGCAAACACTGAGCCTCTGCCAAGGCAGAGGCTGCTCTGCAGCTGCCATACAAAAGGGGGAGTTGTGGCTCTCTGCAATGGACACACAGCCTGCAAGGACCCTGCTCTGGCTCGGTGCCCCATTCCCTGCCTGTTAGTACTGGGATCTCCTCTGGATACCAGTGCCCATCAAAGCTGACCCTGCCCGGATACCAGTGCCCATCAAAGCTGGGCTCACCCTGCCTGGGTACCAGTGCCCATCAAAGCTGGGCTGATCCTGTCTGGATACCAGTGCCCATCAAAGCTGGGCTCACCCTGCCCGGATACCAGTGCCCATCAAAGCTGGGCTCACCCTGCCTGGGTACCAGTGCCCATCAAAGCTGGGCTCACCCTGCCTGAACACCAGTGCCCATCAAAGCTGGGCTCACCCTGCCTGGGTACCAGTGCCCATCAAAGCTGCCCCATCACTCTCCCCCTCAGCTGGGCAGGGAAGAGAAAGTATAATGATACACTCATGGATTGGGATAAGGACAGGGAGAGCTCACTCACCCAGTTACTGTCATGGGCAAAACAGACTCAATTTTGGGAAATTACTTTAATTTATTACC